AAAAAAAAAAAAAAAAACTTGCGAAAACATTCGTACAGGCCATCCATGGTCACTCCGTCCACAGGTAAACCTTTCCACTTGAATTTCCTCCAGCCAGCATGTTCACCGAGGGATGAAACACATTGAGAGAGTTGACAGAATTAAGGTTCTCGTGAGTCAAGCGCATCAACGCGGTGCTCTTTTGCTCAGAAGAGAAAATATCAATCTGGTGATAAAGAAAATAAAAAAATTAAAAGATAATGGGTTGGTGACAAAAAGCTATTTGGAACCCATTCATATCCACAAGCTATATGATTAAAAATTATTGAACGAGGTTATGCAAAACAAGTGATTTGTCATTCGATCGGTGAGTTTGGTTTTCACAATTATTTTCTAGAAGCCCAACGCCAGAAGCGCGCGCGGCCTTGCTGAAGTAATTTGCAAGAAGCAAGCTGACGACTGAGCTGTTTTTCTTTCAAACGTTGCGAAAATACTTTGAGGACAGTTTTGCTTCCTTCTTTGTATACTCACTGTACTTATGTCTAGTGGACATTTTTCACAGAAGCGGTCACGACTTAGGACTACGCAAGAGCAGATCAGTTTGACGTTCAGTTGATCAGGTAGCTGCTTGTACGCGGCTGTAGTCACAGAGACTTAGGCGCCGTCCAGACGGGTCCGGATATTTCTGAAAACGGAGATTTTTTCCCCCGTTTTCAAAACAATACACGTCCACATGTAGCGTATTCGAATCGTTTTCGCCCATCCACATGAAAATGCTAAAGCAAAAGAAATACGATAGCGACCTTTACAGAGCATGCGCAGTGCGCCACCATTGAACTGGAATTGATCTATGACGTCATTGCATTCGAAAATATCCGTGTTTTTGGTGCCCAAAAACGCCGTTTACGTGTGGACGGAAGGCTAAAAACAGAGAAACAAAATATCCGTTTTCAAAAATATTCGGATACGTGTGGACAGGGCTTTAGTTAGTGTCAAAGTCTCTTGTTTTTGGTTTTTCAGTTATGCCGTGCACATTTGTTATTGAAATTAGTTTCGTCACTTATTTTTCGGTTACGTAACGTTTCATATTTTCGTGTACATTTTTCATCTATTGTTTCCATTGTTCTGTATAGCATCTTCGGCAGTTGACATTTTAGTTGTCGTTGTCCGTGTGTTTTAGTCGTCGTAGCCACTACCCAAATCTTGTAAGTTTCGTTGGTTCTTGCCTTATTTTCCGCTTGCTTTAATTATATTGCATCTTGTTTCATGTTCTGTATGTTTAGCTTGTTTTTATTTGCTTCAGCGAATCGCTGGTTTAAGTGCGAATAAACCTAGAGTGTGGAATTCTACGACAGCAGCTATGGCAGATTACGTGATGAGCTTTCAATATTACCAGGTAAGTAACCAAAATTGCATGGAATGGTGGTTTACGTTATAACTTTTAAACACTAGAATATGCTGCTAAAGAAATAAATCACAACACGAACATGTATAAACGACAACAACTTTCCAACCTGTCGTGGTCTTCTCATACTTCCAACAACTGCATATTTGTCATATTTCGGATCCCAGGTAGCACGAAAACTTGTCAGCCACCGACCAACGTGATTATCATGGCTAACAAAAAAACACACAAGAAAGAGAATCAGAGATTGGAAAGTAAAACGAATAAATTACACTAAAACGATTGGAGTCGAGTAATCAATTTTACGCACATGCATGAGGAGTACATTGTCAGATAATGTGCCTTTGGTATTAACTCACAATATAATATCGCGCTGCAAGGCGTTGCGAAGCGTATAATTATTTAACTACATGAAAAGTAACAGCTTATTTTGATAACATCTGTCAGAATCTTAATGCAGAAATCATAACTTTCGAATTGTTTCAGCTCAATTGTTTCCTTGAATTTAGCCTTGCTTTATGATCAGGAAAAACGACTTCAAAACAAAACTGGAAAAAAACAAACAAACAAACAAACGACATACTATGTATGGAACAGAAGACAATTGATTGTGTTCATTTTACCTGAAGCAGCACCTGGCTGAAGTAGAAACCAATCCTGATGGGTCCAAATCATTAATGCTGAGGAAAGAAAGATCAGCTTCAGGGCAACCATTAAACGATAGGGTCACCTTTATTTCATTTTTGCCACAGACAAGGGAAGGGAGAATACAGACATTAATGGAAAAGAACAGTTTTATTTGTGGTCTTAGGGCCTCCATAGACTAGACATTAACTTGTCGACAACTATTTGTTGTTGATAACTAAAATAATTAATGTTATCTCATTGGAGTGTTAGTTGTCGATGTCCAAGTCCAGTCAGCGAGACCTTGGGAACTAACGTTCACTACGCATGCTCAAAATACAATACGCATACTCAAACCACTGACCACTGCCAACGCAGTTGCGACAGTTGTCGACAAGTAAAGCAATGATTCCCACACACGGGAAAACGGTGAAAACGAATTTGTCGACTACTAAAGCATTTTTTTTTTCGAAAAGGGAAACTATGTACTTAGTTGTCGACAGCTCATCTCACGTACTACGTTTTTCATAATTGCCGTTAATATTTAGTTACCGTCTCGATGACAAATAGATGTCTAGTCTGTGGATGCCCTTAGCCTACGAGTTTCAAAGCGTTAATCCCCTAAGAGACATAGCAGATGCACGACATATTCTCCCAGTTAACATGAAAGGAAATATACGTAAATCCATGAGGAGAGTATACACTTTTATCCTACACTTACGTTACGTAATCATCCATGGATGTCACCAAGACTTGGCTGCCAGTTAAGGGAGAGAAATAAGCTGAGGTAGCAACACGGGTCCGCTGTAAGCTACTCAGCTTTGATTTCATGTTTTTTATATTGCGTATGTCCCAGAACGCTACTGACCTGTCAACGAAAAGACAGGAGAGTTAAAGGGGCGAGGAGTTTCTAATGGGGCTGGAGAAAAAAAATTATCCTACTTCAAATAAACTTAAGAAATTTAATTACTTTGTTGGACTAAAAGAAGTCCAGGTTCCTGCTTGGCAGGGGTCCTTGTAGGTGTTCTCGTTATGGGTTCGTTACTATGAACAATTTGAAACAAGATGCATCGTAATCGCGCGTTGATTAAATTATCTTTACTGTGAATTTTAGAATACTCGTTTAACCGTGGATAAATTTCTTTATTTCTAA